CAGCTGGCACCTGTTCTCACACACGTTTGAGACCCAGTGAGAAGTCAGCGTGAGGGATGCCCCTGTTTGTTGGGAATCAGGTCCCTGGGGAGGGTCGGAGCCAGCCTTGGGGGAGCCGTGCAGCAGCACATCTGCAGGTGGGGTCAGGAAGGACAGGGCCCTGGGAGCTAATACAGCCCTGCATTGGGCTGAGGCACCCATTCCCAGAGTCTGCTTTCCAGGACCCAGGACAGGTTCCACAGACTCACCCCACCTGTCACCCAGCGCAGGGCATGTCTCCACTCCAAGGACATGATCTGGGGCTGCCTGGGGAACATCTGGGCCTGGAACAGGGAGGGTCGGGCTCTGCACAGAAGTTCTGTTCTCACCTGAGGCTCCTCCCTCCTTCTCTTCCTGTCTGGCACCAAGGCTGGACTCCCTGGAGGAAGAGCACTCCAGGAAGAAGGGGCCTGAGCCCCCACAGCCCCTCTGCAGCCATGCACCTGGGAGTCTGTGGGGGCCACGGAAGGGAGGAGGGGAGGGAACCAGCATCTTTGGCACCAGGGTCCTTACGTCAGATGCTGCAGTGTCAGGTGATAGACGCATCAGGGTTGCTGTCCTTAACATCTGCAGCCGTGGAGGGACGGGGAGGTAGGAGCTCACCGGGGACGCCCATCACACACCCTCTCACCAGCCCCCGTGGAGCTGTGCTCCCCCATCTCAAATCCCACCATCCACACATATGGGCTCTAACGAGACACCCATGTCAGACACACACAGACTCACATCTACAATGACACACGGACACACATCCCACAACACACAGACACACACTCACACACATCTCACAGCATGCAGACAAATGCACACCTCACAACAGACATACAGACTCACACTCACCCCACACACAACACACACACACTCACACACTCACAACATCCCGACACACATACATACACACACACACCTATCACCTCATCTACCACTGCAGGGCACCCTGCTCCCCTTCCAACCACGGGCCCTGAGGGCTTCCTCAGGCCTCCAAAGTCGGCTTTCCCAGGCCACAGCAGGAGGCAGTTCCAGACATTTCCAAGGTTGACAGGAGCCTGGGGACAGTGCTACACCCTCTCTGCTCCTGACTTCCACCCTCAGCAGAGCCAGCTCCAGGTCCCACAGTGGAGACGTGGTTCCTGAGGCCACTGCCCGACACCATCCCCTCCCCGAACAACGTTCCCTTCATCGTGTGCTCCCCAAACACACCGCTCACACCCCAGCCCCCGCATCAGGGTCTGCTGGACCTAAA